CAACCAAATAGGAATGGCCTCTAACCTAATAGGAATGGCCTCCAACCTAACAGGAATGGCCTCCAACCTAATAGCGATGGCCTCCAACCTAAACGTGTTGGCCTCCAACCTAGTAGCGATGGCCTCCAACCAAATAGGAATGGCCTCCAACCTAATAGCGATGGCCTCCAACCAAATAGGAATGGCCTCTAACCTAATAGGAATGGCCTCCAACCTAACAGGAATGGCCTCCAACCTAATAGCGATGGCCTCCAACCTAAGCGTGTTACCCTCCAACCTAATAGCGATGGCCTCCAATCTAATAGGAATGGCCTCCAACCAAAGAGCGATGGCCTCCAACCTAATAGCGATGGCCTCCAACCTAATAGGAATGGCCTCCAACCTAAGTGCGATGGCCTCCAACCTAATAGCGATGGCCTCCAACCTAATAGGAATGGCCTCCAACCTAAGTGGCATGGCCTCCAACCTAGTAGCGATGGCCTCCAACCTAAGCGTGTTGGCCTCCAACCTAATAGCGATTGTCTCCAACCTAATAGGAATTGCCTCCAACCTACCTAAGAGACATGGCCTCCAACCTAGTAGCGATGGCCTCCAACCTAATAGGAATGGTCTCCAACCTACTAGCGATGGCCTCCAACCTAATAGAGATGGCCTCCAACCAAATAGGAATGGCCTCTAACCTAAGCATGTTGGCCTCCAACCTAACAGGAATGGTCTCCAACCTAACAGGAATGGTCTCCAACCTAAGAGCGATGGGCTCCAACCTCATTGCGATGGCCTCCAACCTGATAGGAATGGCCTCCAACCTAAGCGCGATGGCCTCCAACAAAACAGGAATGGCCTTCAACCTAAGAGCGATGGCCTCCAACCTAATAGGAATGGCCTCCAACCGAACAGGAATGGTCTGCAGCCTAAGAGCGATGGCCTCCAACCTAATAGCGATGGCCTCCAACCAAATAGGAATGGTCTCTAACCTAAGCGTGTTGGCCTCCAACCTAAAAGCGGTGGCCTCCAACCGAATAGGAATGTCCTCGAACCTACCAGGAATGGTCTCCAACCTAAGAGCGATGGCCTCCAACCTAAGCGCGTTGGCCTCCAACCTAATAGCGATGGCCTCCAACCAAAAATGGCCTCCAACCCAAGAGCGATGGCCTCCAACCTAGTCGGAATTGCCTCCAACCTAAGAGCTCCATCGCTAGTAGGTTGGAGGCGTTCGCAATTAGGAGCAAATAAACTATTGTTTGCTCTTAGTTTTAGGCTATCTACTTTAGCTCCTACAAAAAGAGTACCAGAAGATGAACTGTGATACACCACATGCTTGGCTGTATCTTGGTTGATATATTTTTTTGCTGATTTCTTTCTCGTCGTCTATCTGCTTGTAAGCTTTTCCTTTGCCTTGTTGGAGCCAATTACTGTATCCTCCTTGACCTTCAACTGTAGCCTTGCCTGGACATTTGTTACCACTGCGGCGATGCTTTGCAAGCAATTCGTCGCAAAATGCCCTCTGTAGCCCAAGACACAAAGGGTTTTCACTCCATTTGCCAGTTGAGGAGCTGGATGTGACGTCCTCAGACGTACTGTGTTTTCCGGCATTCCTCACACGTCCCTCTTCGCATTTGCACCATAAGTCCCAAGTCTGACTCCGCAGCAACGGAGGTGGAGATGATGGTGCTCCCGACCCAGAGCTGCCCCAGGACTTGCACCAGCTCCGAGGGGCTATGGGCACAGTGCGAAGACAGGATTGGATTTAATCCAAGGAGTGTACCGATTCCCCCACCAGACAAAGATTTGGTTGCTTGTGTGACTGTGTGAAGACCACCTTGAGACAAGCAATGTGAGGATGTGGGGATGTTCTTCCAATCGGGTGGCGGGTGCACGACGTTGCACCGTTGATAGGAGAGCACCGAAGAGCAGGGTTCCTGATGAAAAAGGAGCTGTGAGGTGATTGGGGCCCTCAGGGTACAGTCTGGTCCGTGTATGTTTCAAAGATCAAAGATAAGGGAAAGAAAGAAGCTACTAGTAACAAGTGCATCGCTACTAGGAACAAGTGCCTTACTAGTAGTAACAAGAAGCCACTAGGAACAAGTGCCTTACTACTAGTAACAAAAAGAATTTAATTATATAGAAGAAACATACACGGAAGAGGGTGTGGCAGAATTTGATTGGTTGATCATGTTTGATCCTGAAGGACCGAATGGAAGCATCCGTTTTCGGGAACTCCAGCTAGGATGAGGCTATATGAGGCTCTTGTATGTAGTTTACCATGTACACACACATCATCACAGATCTACTTTCATTCTTCAATCCATTTCCTTCCGATGTTTTCTTAGATTCCGCTCCTCTCCCTTCTTTGACCGTTCGAGCCTTGAAGGCCACGGCCAGTGGCAAAACAAGAGTCTTGAAGTTCAATCCTTTGATGAGTTGAATCCAGTGTGGATGTGTTCCCCACAGACAGAGGATTACAGAGGTACCCCATGGTACTCCCAAATACGATTGGGGTCAGAGAGGATTGATAAACACCAATTGGTTTTCAGATCCCATCATGCTGAGACATATACTAGAGTCAGACCATGTCAGACCTATGTGTTCTGGGTGAATCTCCAAGCTGCCCGAGCCAAAAACATGTCGGTCCGGTGTGGTCGCGTGGTGGTTGAGTGGACTTAAGATCGACAGATGACTGGTGCGAGAAAGCTGGCATTTGGGGACCCAGCCGCAGACGGCTGTTCCATGGGGAGTTCCCAGTGCCGTTTTCAGATGCATGGATCTATGGAAGTATACAGGCTATTTCATTTCGGCCTAGGAGACAGTTTCAAGAAAGTTGACCTGACTTGATGCAGTTCCGCAGTTGTAGTTTTGGCTCTCTCTCTCTCTATATTAAGTATAACCCACCTACTAGTGCACTTTGAATTGATTGGAGCCACAGCATCATATATGTACCTTGACATACCTTGACGAAGATTGCCTGGGACTCAAGTTGGTCCACATTGGCCCACAGCCCAGATTTGGTTTTGCGAGCAGAACCTCTACCAGTCTGCCCAGTTGCACTGAAGCGCAATTCAACCACAACAAAGGTTGATGCCAGTTGACATGAACGAAATGGGATCATCCTAGCAAGTACATAGCCCAGAAATCTGGTGACTGTAGGCCTTGTTCGGAAGGACTGTAGGCTCTGTTCGGTCAGAAGTGCCTCGCACAAGCATGGCAGGCTGGAACTTTCGAGATCGGAACACATCAGAGCATTGCTCTAGGTAATCTTTTTTGCAGAGAGGCATCCTAATAGCGATGGCCTCCAACCTACTAGCGATGGCCTGCAACCTATTAGCGACGGCCTCCAACCTAATAGGAATGGCCTCCAACCTACTAGCGATGGCCTGCAACCTACTAGCGATG